TCCATATTCAAAAATTGTTTTTTTGGATTCAGGGAGGTCTGAAACGTGGAGATCCTCCTGTTGGTGTGATGCGGAAGTTTGGAGAGAGGCTGCCATCTCAGGTGTCGTCCTCGTCATCCGATAGTGGCTCCAAATTGAGAGATCCATTTCATAACATCCCTCGTGTTGCTTCAAAACGGGACGTTAATGTTATTAAACTAACCTAAACCGAAACGTGGAGATTCATTAAAAACTGAATGTTGTAGCGGTTACAATTCACTGCCTTCTCCTTTTTATGGTAGGTGGCGCTACTAGAGCCATCCGGATTTTCCCCATAATGCCTCTATCTCTCTTTGTTCTGTGTACTTCTGGTGTGTTGTTGTTCTCTGTCTTGCCTTGCGTCTTGTACCTTTTAAATGTGCTGTGCCGTGGAACTTAGCCAACTAATAAAAATGGGTCCTGAAATTGAATTAATTCTTCAACAGCGGCATTCCATATAAAAATGAGTCTCGCCCCTCTACAATGTCCAATTTTTTATCTGCTAGAGTAACTTCTCCTTGTGTACTTCGTATGTAAGAAAGTAAAAACACATCTTTTCGACTGCTATAATTTTTTTACATACAATTATTTTGTGAATATATTAACAGATTTTTTTTCTTTAATTTAGCTTGCATGAAGCTGTAATAAAATTTACATTACTATCATCAATTCATAAGACTCCTACCGTCATTTCTTCTATTTTTCATATATCTTAACGATTTTTTTTATTTGGGATCTTCTTCAGTCATAATGAAGTAAGAATTTATTATTTTATTCCTTTGAGTTCGTTTTTCAGTTTCCTACCATACTGCGAATGGGAAAAAATTACTTTTCCCCGTACTTAATTAAGCGAGAAATTTCTCAACCAAAACTCCCATTAATAAAGGAGGCAAGTTCACACTACTTTTTCCCTTCACAAATGCTCCTTTCAATTACAGAGCTATAGAACATTCTTTTGCAGTCATTGAAGTCTCTTAATATTTCCATTTGGGCATTTTTCATCTATCTTACTCACAAGCAAAAAGAAGAGATGAATAGCCGACTGTAAAAGTATAGTCAGCCTGGATGACTTAATAATGAATAATGGATAATTAACTTGGTAAAACAAAAACAATAAAAGAAAACTTAGGAAATTATATATATACTTCATGATTATTGATTGTATCTCTGATTTCTGTTCTGTGTAGTCAAATCATCCCCATATGATTCACGTCAAATGAGCATTCTAATTTAATTTTGAATCTGTTGCGCATCTTGCAGAAGAAACCAAGTGGGATGTCCTCCCCTCAATTTTCTCATATGCTTATACATGAATGTTATAATTAATGTTCGCCTATTGAGAAGGCAGCCCCATCGGGGGGGAGGGGCACCGCGAGTTCACGGATGAGAGACTGCCGTATAAGTAAGCTGACTCTCGCCAACCCGATGGTACAAACATGGTGGTGTGGCTCTTTGGGCTCATCTCCGAAGACAGGTCGTACCCCGGTAAAACGGGGGGTTGTCGCATGAGCCGCTCGTAATGGGGGCTATAATGCAGGAACCTCAATGCCTGACTACGCTGTCGTTGCGGCCGGTCTTTCATTTGTTACCCGGATGCTTTTGCAGGACGGGGTGATGTTTTGTGTGGCTTACTAAGAAGTCTCCCCAATTAGTAAGTGGGGACTTGCCCTCATTATGGGTACATTAATGGTGGTTTGGCAAACAAGATGACTTTATAGCCAACAGCGATGTTTATGCTTTATGTCCGCCATGTTTTTTGAAATAAAGTAGGCAGCCGGATTGACGACATCAAAATAATCATTTGCAGCACACCTATTTACAAATATTTACAGAAAGTTTTTCATAATAATTCTCTCATAATAATGTCAAGAATAAATCTTACCGATTAATCCGGCGTCATCAATCTTTTTCTAACACAAACTCATAGTTGAGTTGTTTTCCTCGTGATAGATGAGCGAGATCGTGCTAAAATAAAGCTGCACGCGACAGATAGTGTGTCTCTTAGGGTTCATCTCCGAAGACGGGTAATAATATACCGTAACAGAGGTGGTTGCCGCATGAGTCAGTCGTAATGGGACCTACTATGTGTTCGACCAGAGGCCCGATTGTGTCGCAGCGGCCGGTCTTTCAACAATGATTTGGGTGCATCGGCGGGCCGAAGGTGGTTCAAAATTTGTATATAGTAAGAAGGATCTAGAGCAGGTTCTAGGGCTCCAAACGAAGCAAAATTTAGTAGTATGCATCACAAGCAGCTGCCGAAATTCTGAGTGAAAATACTTTTTTCTTTCAAAATACCGTTTTCATGCACATTTTCTCTTCTTTTTTTTCAGTTTGTAGAGTACCTAGTAAAATATTGCAAAAAAGGATATAAAAACGGCATTTTGAACGAAAAAAGACTTGACGTTCAGAACTGAATATCGGCAGCATTTCTATTAAACTAAGAAAAACTCAAATACTTTAATAATAAAAAGAACTTAAGAAAAGCGCAGTTCGGGTCCGCGCCGTAGATTTCTCGTGAAAACGGTCGGAATAAAATCATAAAACAAGTGTTTCGTATTAATATGTAATTTAATTATCAATCTCTTTAATTCAATATTTTCACAGAGTAGTATAATTGTTACAAAATAGATAAATCACAAGTTTATCTCATGTAGCAAGGTAGTGTGGTAGCTTGTGATATTATTTTCACGAAAAATCTACGGCGCGGACCCGAACTGCGCCTTTCTTATGTTTTATTTAGAGTAGCTTTTGATGGCGCCATCTATTGATAGTATACAGAACTACATTTCGCGTATGAGCAGTAAAACCTTATTTACTTTACTTTACACTACGGCACACCTGTAACTCCAGAGATAAAAATCTCCGGTTTGCAGTTTGGATGAATGTGCGTAGAAACTTTATTGAACAAAAAAAAAGTTTACATACAGTGTTTTAACATTGTCGAAAAACATGTGAAAATTATAAAAACAATCAAAAATGTGTGTTTATATATGAAAAGAAAGACTCATAGCTGGAAAACCATTTTAAGACAAGTCCCAAAAGTTCGCTGCATCTATATACTTGTAGGAGGACTGATTAGGGTTCTAGGTATTGAACCTCTAGAGGGTCTTAGTCCATAAATCTGAGGTCTTGGTGAAGGAGAGAAATCTGGGTCGGAGTCGGATGAACTGGTTGCGTCCGGTGGCTGTTTTATGAGGTTCTCATTTTCAGTGAGGAAAATATGAGTTTAGATATTTTTATTCTTGATAGTTTATTTGAAAGTACACTTTCCCACCAAAGTTGAGTGTTTTCTGCACTTGGTTTTGTAAAATGATAAGATAACGTCATGTGACAAGAAGTTGCGTAGTGGAGAGGGTCTCCCTTTTCCTCGCATGTAGAGATATCTGAATGATGAAGCCGGGATCTATAGAGATAGCTGGGAAAAGGACCGTGGCCTGCAGCGAAGAGGGTGGATTCTCTTGGCCATGAAGCTGGGGTTAGAGTGACTTTAGGGAGTATATTAAAAATTGCTCTCCCAGTGTCGCCTCAATCCCAGTCTTGTTGCCATTTATTGAGAGAGAGGTTCATAAGAATTTTCTTTAGATGACGTTTCGGGGCCTGAAGATGGAGGTGAGTCCCTTCTTTAGTAGCTTGTTTGGCTAGGTTGTCTGCTACCTCGTTACCGAGAAAACCAACATGCGCCTTAATCCAGTTCAGTTGCATTGATGGGTTCTGAAGGAAGGCTTGTTGCGTTTTTTGGATTAGTGGGCTAGAACTTTTAAAGGAAGAAATTGCTCTGAGTGCCGACTCGCTATCACTCCAGATTGATGTTGATATTCCCTTAGGATTAGTCCAATTTATAGCCTCTTTTATTGCTAAGGTTTCAGCTTGAAATACGGTATTATGTGGGCTTAGTTTTGCCGTCCACTGATGAATTTGGATGTTGTTTTGAATGACATAGAAAGCGCAACCTGTTTCAGCTTCTAGATGTGAACCATCTGTGTAAATAGCCTCATCTGGGGGATGCGGGTCAGAGACTATTGAGATCCTATCCTCTAAATCAAAGTTAGCTGGATGAATGATAAGAGGAGGATTTCGTTGTTGAAAATCCTGATATAGAAAGCGTGAGCCTTCCCAATTGCAATCCCTGCGAAGGCGACTTACTCTAACGAGAATGGATTCCATTTGAGCTTTGATATGTAGGGGAGTAATGCCTTCGATCACTTATAGAGCTGCTGTTGGAGTGGTAGAATACGCTCCAGTGATGTTAAGAAGGAATTTTCTCAGTATAGAATTGAGAAGCCTTTATTGCCTTGAGGTGATAATTATTTGCCCATGCCGGTGCTCCATAAAGTAATATTCTTTCTATAACTGTAAAATAGATTTCCCTTCTGATATTTTTATTCAGACCCCAGTTTGAAGCGGCGATACTTTTCATTTTTTGATAAAGGATTAGCGTTTTATTTTTTAACTAAGACAGATGTGTTGCGAAGTTTAGTTTATCGTCAATAAAGACCCCTAGATATTTGATGCTTGTTTTCCTTTTGAGAAGATTACCTTCCCATCTTATGCCTGCTGACCAGCGGGGACCGTTTCTATTTTTGTTGAAATGCATGTAGTTTAATTTATCTGCTGAAATTTCCAGATTATATTTTGCAGTCCGGGATTTAAATTGATTTTGGGCTTCATTTGCAAGGGATTTGACTTGAGCCTTTGTTGGTGCTTTTATAAGAAAGATGAAGTCATCTACGAAAGCTTGCAAATGAACTCCTTCTGGCCAGGATTGAGTTAGTACTTCGTTCGCCACAAGATTCCAGAATGCCGGACCAGTGGCATTTTGGAATCTTGATTTACTACAAATGTTCATATTTCCCGTAATATTCAAATTTTTAAGCAATGTTTATTTTACGTATTTTCAAGTATCGATAGATGGATAGTCAACTTTTAGACAGATTTAGTCCAATATACAGAACGTTGCCACATGTCCTCCTGAAAAAGATGCCAACAGCAAGCGGTGTTCTCTGGTGGACCACCCTCCCAGGTACTGATCGCACCCGATTCTGCTTAACTGCGGTGATCAGGCGAGAACCAGTGCTTCCAGCATGGTATGGCCGTTGGCGTACAAAGAGATAACAATTCTAATTATAAAATCATATGCCGATTTTCATTGGTGTAGCTGGTTGCGTTTAGGATTTTTTTTTGTGACGATGCACACGGCGTGCACTCGTGTTAAAATGCACACGGACAAAGAGGCACGTTTGCGGTAAGTAAATGTAAAAGAAATCTAAAACTTTCGTCGTGAGACCGCACACTAAATTTCTTCCGTCTAAGTGATTTATTTTTGGGATTTGTTCACAGACAAAATTTTAAAAAAATGACTAAATCTTCTATATTTATCAAAATTTCCAGGTAGAATATCTTGACGATTATGATACTACGCTTTGTGCACCAGAAAATAAAATGGACGTGACGTCTAGTACAACGTAAAATAAGGTGTAGTTGCATGTAAGGTGACATACTCATGAAAGATACATATGTCATGTGTTACTGTGTAGCCACTTGAATGAACTTTATTCTTCACAGAACCGAGCCTTGAGTAATATAATAAACGATCAAACAATTTCCTAGATTATAAAGCTTCCTTTTTCCTTTAAATTCATCTATTTTAAAGTATCATCGAATTGTTATTTCTAACGAATAAAAATGAAGCGTATAAATAAAATTTTATTCTCAGGAAAACGAATAAATTAACTATTTAAATGTTATAAAGCTATTAAAAACTCTTTTTACTTCAAAGTTTTGGTAAAAGTCATTTGTAAAGATGCTATTAAAGATGCGTTACAATACGTTCACACTTTATCTCGTAAAAGTACATATTAAAAAAAGAAAGCAAATAACCATCCCTCAGTCTTATTTTTATACAGAAAAATAGCTAAGATAAACTTTTAAGCCTTATTAGCAAAATTTAAACTGTAGTAATTAAAACAACCGCTTTAAAATTGTAGTAATTTCTGCTATGTATCGCATAAAGAAGTTACAAAAACGCAATATAATGAAACATATGTGAATATATTGGAAAATAATTAATTTGGAGGCATTTTGAACTTCATATTACTAACTGATTATCATTATAAACCAAAAACTATTTTTTATTCACAAATTCAATTATGTGAGTGAATTTCATTTTCAGACATTTTATTTTGAATTTTATTATCATTCACTTTTACATTAATGAGAATCTGTTCATTAATTCATCGGTATTGAATATAAAAACAAAATTTTTAAACGTAACAAAAACAGTAATTTTCATCGTTATCATTTTATGAGCACTTGCTTGATTCATTTTACGTAATGAGACGTCTCCCTGCTCTACAGAATGGGCATTATGTTCACAAATTTCTTAATCAAATAATAATAATAATAGCTAATAATTTGACCTGTCCTTACGGACATGCAAATTTCGAACCACTGTCAGTTCCGAAGAATGCTAGCAAATTCGATATTCGAGCACAAAAATTCGATACAAGGTACAGTGTTTCATAAGATACAGGCTAAAACAACCTATACACAATTTCTTATCACAATTTCAAATTTTCCTATCACACTTTCTTGATTAATAACTAAAACACACATTAAAATGAAATAATAACGATAAAGAAAATAAAAAAGAATACAGGAAGTTACAAAAAATTAACACTGTACTATACAACAAATCATAAAAATAAACAAACAACACAATCGCGGCTAGCATGCAGGGACGAGTATTTACAATAAATATATAAAACAGAAAAAAACCTCAAAAAAATCTGTATATGTATCATAAACAGTTGTAGTCATTTAAACCAAATATAACAAAAAGAGATTATAAAATTTGGCCAATTAATTTAACATACGAGGGTAAGTCAATTAAGTAAGTCACAAAAGATAAGAAAAGAATAATTTACCATGATAATCACTTGGAAACAATTTTATTTTTCAACATAATATCCGCCAATGTTTATGCACTTTTTGAGCGCCCCAAATTCAGCTGCATAAAATTCTTTGGGTTGCTGTCTCATCCACAGTAGGACTTCGTATTGAATGTCGGCATAATCTGCAATGTATTTGCCTCCAAGATGTTGTTTTAGTGGGCCAAACAGATGAAAATCGCTTGGGGCTAAGTCTGGTTGGTCAGTGCTACAGCATCCACCTTACAGTCCATACTTAGCCCCAAGCGATTTTCATCTGACGACGCCGATGTCGATGAGATTATAACGACGTTCAACACGAAGTCCTACTGTGGATGAGACAGCAACGCAAAGAATTTTATGCAGCTGGAATTGGGACTCTGATAAAGCGATGGAATAAGTGCATCAACATGGGTGGAGATTATGTTGAAAAATAAAATTGTTTCCAAATGATTATCATGGTAAATTACTTTTTCTTATCTTTTGTGACTTACTTAATGACTTACCCTCGTATTAACAATCTATCAAATCTTTATATAAGAACAGCAATAAAATTAAATAATAAAAGCAATGGATTCATTTCAATGACATTATAGTCGCAAGACAAGCGTAACTGCACATACCGTTTAACGGTATGTTTCTTATGCTTTTCAGTGATGTCACGAAATTTTTTACCTAATACAATATACGCAAAGGACTCCAAAATGAAATTGACGCGGCACATTTGTCATGTATTATGTGAGCAAGCACTGAAATCCTTCAGAAACATAAAATGAAAATATAAAATTAATTCCCATTTAATACTTTTAAAATTGTAATATATTAATAAAGGGACCCTAAAATTTGAGGCATCTTGTAAAAACAAAAAAATTCTTATTAAGGTCTGGTCTCTTCATTCATAAATATTTTATACATAAAAAACATTTTCTATGTCTTTATTTTTAAAAAATGACGGGAAACTGTCTTTTCAAACAGCAGCTGATGTTAAAGGCTTAGGACTACTTTACTCACGTGACTCTTTTGTTTATCGAAGTTTCTCGTAAGTTTTTAAGTTTTTTAGTAAGTGTTTTTTCTAATCTCTGTTGTTACCCTTTATCTATAAAATAAGACATTAGTTATGATTTTAAAATGTGTAGTTACCGAGATATAGAGGATCGCGTCACCAATTCATGAGTATTTTTGCCCAACTTGCGACTCAGATGTCACTGAACTATAATTCCGATTTTCAAACAATTTTTTGTAACTTTTGTTGTTGCCCTTTATCTCTAAAGTAAGACATTAGATATGTTTTTAACATATGTATTTAACGAGATATAGAGGATCTCCCATACCAAGTTTTGTGGCGTTTTGGCGTGTGAATCAATTTCCTTCCTGAGACCACAATGGGAGGAACGTAGTCCTACGTTAAAAATCTTTTTTAAGACCAAACAAACTTCAAATTTCGGGAGATTTCGGATTGTCGAATTCATCATTCTTTCAAGTGACTCGTGAATAAATTGGCGAAGGGAGAACTTCAACAGTCATAATTTCATAGAAATACAGAACAGTACATTATATACGGTGGTCATGAATTAATGAACCCATTTAAAAAATTAATTTAAAAAACCCTAAAATATAGCAACTTCGTTTTTTTTAATGAGAGAGTAACTCATAAAGTTTTTCAATTAAGCAATGCTCCGTTACGGCGCACTAAATCTGCTGCAGCGGGAGATTCCCAACGCAATTGTCAAAATGACTACCGTGCAGCAGAAGGCACGTCTGGCACTACGAAAACAAATAAAATGTAATAGTTTAAAGATGTTTTCGCCTAGAGTAACTAAATTTTCAGTCTCCAAGTAAGAACTCCATCAAGCATTTGTGTGAGCAATTTAAGGGAACAGGAAATGTGCCTCATAGGAAAGGTGCTGGACGACCATCGGTTTTCAGACGAAGATGTTGAACGAGTGAGGAATGCTTTCACTCCTTAATGGCTTATGCCAACGCTTCATGTAGTTCTTACTTGGAGACTGCCAAAATTGATTTGCTTTCGTGGAACTAGAGACGTGCCTTCTGCTGCACTGTAGTCATTTTGACACTTGCGTTGGGAATCTCCCTTTGCAGCAGATTTAGTGCATTGTAACTGTGCGTTACCTATCTGAAAAAAAAAACTTTTTGAGCTACTATCTGATAAAAATCCGAAGTTATATTATAGGTTTTTTGAGCTACTGTCTCACAAATAAACGAAGCTATATTATAGATTTTTTGAGTTACTGTCTCATGATAAAAACGAAGCTATATTATAGGTTTTTTGAACTACTGTCTCATAAAAAAACGGAGTTATATTATAGGTTTTTGAGCTACTGTCTCATAAAAAAACGAAGCTATATTATAGGTTTTTAAAATTATTTTTGAAATGGGTCCAATATTTTATGACCACCCTGTATAAGAACCGTCTCTTAGTTTGGTATAAAGGGCAATGTTAAAATTTTGCTTACTTTTGTTATGCCCATAAATTTACTACTCAAAATACTTTATTCACATAAATAAAACATAAACTCTCAACTAAAGAGCCCAGAAATACTATCAATTTCTTTTATTGTTATATCTCTAAAAATTCAGTTAAATCTAAAATACAGCTCTTCTTGATCTTTGTTTTAATAACCTTGTTTATTTGGGTGTGCATTAGCGTGTGTAACCAACAGCCTCCAATAACAATTTACCACCTTATTTATTTGTAACGAAGTTCCAGAATTTCGACTATCCTAAACGAGTACTTTTTTGGTTTAAAATTCCAATATGGAGCAATGGATGAATTCATCAATAAAAGGATTTAAAACATCAGATATAAATAGAACATTGATAAGATTTAATTTATTCATATTAACATTTAATTTTGAAACTATCCTAGGACTACTTTGGTAGGACCTCGTAATATTGAATTGTGGTCGGATGACGAAAAGGATTCTTGAGCCGAAACCCTCTGTTCCTTGGCGTAGGATTCTCTCGGCGCCCTAGGGCAGCTATTGGTCCATTAGCCACGACAATAGATGACTGTTCCAATTCCCGAGTCTCCCCGCAGTTCTGGGAACCTGTTGTCACGTTGTCAATGCCCTAACGGTTGTTTAGATTTTTTTGGAGGGGATGGGGCTATGCATTATATTTTTTTACCTTGTTTTTATTTTTAGACTAC